CCACTGCACCATCCCTGCTCCCCTCCCATATCACCACCGCACCATCCCTGTTCCCTTCCCATATCATCAGTGCACCATCCTTGCTCCCTTCCCAAATCACCTCTGTTCCATCCCTGCTCCCTTCCCATATCATCAGTGCCCCATCCCTGCTCCTTCTCATATCACCACTGCACCATCCCTGCTCCCTCCCATATCGTCACAGCACCATCCCTGCTCCCCTCCCTTATCGTCACTGCACCATCCCCGTTCCTTTCTCATATCACCACTGCACCACCTCCCATATCACCACCGCACCATCCCTGTTCCCTTCCCATATCATCAGTGCACCATCCTTGCTCCCTTCCCAAATCACCTCTGTTCCATCCCTGCTCCCTTCCCATATCATCAGTGCCCCATCCCTGCTCCTTCTCATATCACCACTGCACCATCCCTGCTCCCCTCCCATATCACCACCGCACCATCCCTGTTCCCTTCCCATATCATCAGTGCACCATCCTTGCTCCCTTCCCATATCACCTCTGTTCCATCCCTGCTCCCTCTCATATCATCGTTGCACCGTCCCTGCTCCTTCTCATATCACCACTGCACCATCCCTACTCCTTCCCATATCGTCACTGCAATATCCCTACTTCCTCCATATCACCTTTGTTCTATCCCTACTCCTCTCCCATATCACCACTGCACCATTCCTGCTCCACTCCCACCCCTTAACCGCCCTAGAACAGCCCACTGCTCGTAACATGCATGTACAACAAGTGTTTTTGAAAAAATTAGTGACAATAATTTCTCATAGCTGTTGATGATTTGAACGTTTTATCCTTTCGAAATACCATACCCTATTCTGTCAAATGTCTGTATCAAAAAAAGGCTGCCGTAGAACAGGTGCGCCGACATAAAGATCCTGTTGGCGGCAGATACTCGTGAAGATATTTTCAGGGAGTATTCTGTAGGATTTTCAGTTAAAACTTTCACAGAACATTGAGTTTGTTCTGTGCATTTTTACGATCAATAGGCTGCAACAAAAATTGTTCTGCCCCCTTTTCTCGTTGCGTGAAGGACGGAGGAAACCGGGAGAAATGCATATGCAATCAAGAGTGTCCTAAGATATTAAAACAAGTTTGCGGTTCAGATTTCGTGACGTATGGCAACGAGTGTCTGCTGAAGAAAACAGCCTGTGTAGAGGAAAAAGAACTAACTGTGTTGAAAAAGGGAGCGTGTGCAGGTATTTCTTTTTAAAGAAGTATACAATTAAATCATTTAGCGCGCTAGATCAAAATCATCAGAAACACTTCAGGAGCAAATTTGAACGGTAACCTGGCTTATAACTGATTCTACTTAATTTTCGTGTAATCCATAAAAAACACATGTTGTCAGTTTCATATGAAAATGCCTTCTCACATCACACGAAAAAAACGTACATGTTGTCTTCTCTTGATTCGGTAGGCAACTTGAAGATTCAAAATCTCACCCATCACGAGAATCTTTTTAATTTATTCATTCCCTTCGAACCCATGCCTTTATTTGGTAGTCAAAACATCTGATGTCTCTAGTTTTTGCCTTTCGCACCCAGGCGCCTCAACAGTTTGTGAAAACGGACCCTGTCCACCGTTTGCAACCTGTGTTGAATCAGACAATGGAAACAGATGTGCATGTCCTCGGTGTTCTCATAACCGCACCCGAAAAATTTGTGGATCGGATTGGAGAACCTACAAAAATTTTTGTGAACTCAAGAGGTATGCCTGCGAGAATAAAAAGCACATCTCAGTCGTCTCACGTGGTGAATGTGAAGGTAGGTAATTTTGATGTCGTCATCCCAAAGGTCAATCAGAAGAGAGAGAAATAACTTGAAGAACCATTGGGCTCAAAATAAAACCAACCAAACTGCCAAAAGCGCAGGAAAAAGAAAAAAGGAACACCAAAGCAATCCTGGATTATTCGCGACACTCAAATGAAAATTTTTCAATTATTCTAACGCATAACTTTCTCACTCTCAGTTTCTGACAATTGTATTCCCAATCGTTTTTGTCATTTTCCAGTCCATTTGAGCAATGTTTGAGTTATCTAACTGTACTATTTTTGGAAAGGAATGAATTTCTTGATGTCACTGTCATGTTTTTTTCTTCCTTCAGTATCATTCTTTGAGGCTAATCCTGAGGAAAAAACCGCTAAACAAGAGAAGTCGTCTGGTTTTATGAAGAAAATTTACATCTCCGGAATAGCTGTTTTGATCCTGGGAGTGGTAATCGCTATTGCTATGTGCGCGAGTCAACCAAAGAATAGGTGAAGATATTTTTAAGAAATCGATGTTTCTGTTAGAAAGCCCGAAAATTTGGATTTCTGAAATGAATCAAAGGGGTCCCCAACCCTGTGGTTGTGCAATGTTTTCAAAGACAAGTATGCTTTAAAAACTGTACAACTGTTGTCTTCACCAACAAAGAGTATGTTTAAAAATGCCTTCTCAGCCCATGTTGAGATTCCTAAGAGTTGCCTACTGGTAAAGAATATCATCAAATATGTCTAAAATTCCATTTCAAACGTCGCCATTTTGAAAATAAATCATGAAACTGCAAGAGTGGGGTGAGAAATGTTTTTTGGCGAAAAGTGGCTTTATGTGTAGCGGTTCCAGAACGTTCCTAATTATTCATTATTGGCCAAGGCCCATTACAATGAGCTCCCAGCAAGGCTCTGTAATTCAGAACTTCTCACCTGTAACAGCTAAGTTGACCCTCTGTGGTTTACTGACCTAATTGAATCCATTGTTGAAAACTTTTTCTAGAAGAATACAGCGGAACAAGAGCTCATTCAAAAAACGTCATCCTAAATACCAGAACGAGAAGCCTACCACTAAAGAAAACTTGTAAGCGAAACACGACTATTACTGACGGATTACGTCTTCCAGTTATTGTAATGCTCATGGAAAACTATTTTTTGCTTAATGTACTTATTACGGAAAATTTTTATCAATTTTCGTACTGTTCATGGAATACTTTATCACTCATTGAAGTACTTGTGGAATACTTATGTCAGTTTTTTCATTACTTACGAAACACTTTTATCAGTTATTTTACTGTTCGCAGAGGATTATATTCCTTATATTATTTATATCACCCATTATATCACTCATTGACTACTTACGGAACACTTCGGAACACTTTGGTACGCTATTGTGCTACTAATGGGGTACTGTTAACTGTAATTTTCTTAATAGCGGAAAACTTTTGTCAGTCATTATACAACTTACAGCCAGGAAATTTATACCAATTGTTTTACTTTCTTGTTATGTCATGCCAATGTAATCTGTTTAAAACCAAGATAAACTGATCAAATAAAACCAGCCTTTAATCTCCTGTCGTTGCCGTGATTTAGACCTACATATGACATCAACCATGACCATAACTCTTCCAGACTCCTTCGAAAACTTCATGCCCAAAAACTCTAACTCTCGCTTCGTTGTATGCGTCTAGTTTCGTTTTAAACTCCACCTTCCCCCTCCCCCTCCTCCAACCAAAGCTGAATGCGGTTGTTGTGTTTAGAGAAGTAGGAGTACACATTGCAGGGGAGTTGGGGGAGGGGCCAAAATATCGTATTTCTTCACGTGTGTTGATATAGCCAATCAGCTGCTGACACGTCACTCACCTTTAGCGCCACTCGGTCGAGTTGATGAATGAATGGCAAAGCGTTGACGATTCTCAATACAAGTTGTTTGTCGGAGCTTTCTCGAATTACGGCAGCTAAAACACTAAAAAATCCGTATCGCTGACAGACAGTGAGGTTCAACCTTTCCTAGAAGGCGAAGAAAACCAATATACTAGAAGAAAAACCGAAAGTTAGCTATTCAGTGGCTTTGGTGTTAGCATTTCTCTCGGTTGAGAATGAAAATCGACAACTGGAAGATTTTCCACGAGCCGATTTTGGCCGTTTACTCGGAAGACTTTTTAATCGGAAGACTTCTTCTGTCGGTAAGGACAAAGTCAATAAATGAGAATTTTGTAAATTGAAAATTACGACTATTGTTGTTTTTGTAGTCTTGATTCAACGCATTTTTTCATCTTGGGAGTTAGCGCCAACGCACTCTACGTTTGTTATTCGGGGATTGTCCATTCATTTATATTCATTCATAAATGAAGTCGGCTTTTCTTCTTAGTAAAGGGCTATTGTGTTTCTATGATAAACAAAATAACACATGGTTGCTTGTAGATATGGAATTTCTCTTCTCGTGTTCAACTCGACATCTCACTCATTCGCTGCGCTCACTCGTGAGCTGTCGAGTTAAACGCTCGAAGAGAAATTCCATATCTACGCGCGCCCATGTATTATTCTCTATATCTTATTATAATAAAGTTCGGATATAACGCGCGCTGTCATTGGTTGAAAGAGCGTGCTCTATGAGAGTTTATATAATAAGCTCAGCTATGCACGCATTCTGATTGGTTCTCACTTATGATCTATTGGAGGACAGACGTTTAGATGACGTCATCATTAAAACTTTTTTTAATTTTTTATTATATGAAACAAATAGATTCTAAGATGCCGTACGTCTGTTCAGTAATAGATCACAGAGGACGTCAAAATGTGGTAAGAACATCAGTGACACACTCGGCTGCGCCTCGTGTGCCACTTTTTTGTTCCTACCACATTTTGACGTCACCTGTGATCTATTACTGAACAGACGTACGGCAACTTGGAATCTATTTGTTAAATAGAGCACAGTCAAGGCTTCTCTATTTGTTAATAAAAAGCTCATACCAGTAAGGGCATCGTACTGACGTGCTATAGTTTTTGCTGTACCGAATATTCAGATTGTGGAACCAGGTAACGTCAATGAATGGTTATTTTTGTCGTTTTTATGGTTTTTAGAGGAAAAGGATATAGCCATTTTCGCTTTTTAAAATTTGACAATGTTTGGAAAAAAACTTCCTTGTTAAATCCAATCCTTTTTTTCAAGTTCAGTCCATTCCTGATTTTCATCTGATTCCAAGTTTTCCCATGATTCCACCCGACTTATCATAGGAAGACAACAATGGCCCAGAGCAATCGCGAGACTCAAGTTCTCGACGAAGTATTTCGAAAGGAGTTGATCGAGAAGTTAGACGAGCTCAGGAAATCGAATCTTCTATGTGACACAACTCTCCGAGCTGATGGACAAGAATTTGCTGCCCATCGCAGTGTCTTGTCTGTCGGCAGTCAGTATTTCCGGACTTTGTTTGCAACGCAGTTAAACGTTCAAGAAACCGAAAAAAAATTCGTAGATCTCAAAGAAGTAACCTGTCAAGCCTTGACGGAGGTGCTTCAGTATATCTACACCGGAAAAGCAAAACTCAACTCATCTAACGCAGAAGAAATCGTCGTCGCTTCCGATTACTTGATGGTTGAAGGGTTGAAATCGAAGGCTTCTCTTTTCTTGGAAGAATCCTTAAGTAATGCGAATTGTTTGGCGTTAGAATCCTTCGCTTCTCAATACAACTGTGATTCGTTAAAACAAGCTGCCGCTACTTTTATCCGTAAAAATTTCGTGACCGTGGCAAAGTCGAGTGATTTTTTGTCCCTTAATGAAGAAAAACTGTTAGAATTGCTCAGCGACGATGAAATAATCGTACCGCGTGAAGAGGAAGTATACCATGCAGCAGTCAGATGGGTCAAATACGATTTAGCCTCAAGAGAAAATTATTTTCCTGAACTGTTGAAATGTCTTCGGCTGTTCTCGATGTCGAAGTTTTCTCTGCGTCAAATTCTTTGCGAGGAAGAATTGGTGAAAAATAACGTTGCCTGTATGACATTATTATTGAATGGGCTGGACTACTTTCTGTTCCCGGATCGTTACCAGAACGTTTCACTCATACCTCGTTTGTCACTAAGGGAATATGAGGATGTGGTAGTACTCATTGGAGGCAAGAATATAAAGAACGAGGAATTAAAAAGCCTTCGCTGTTTTGTACTTTCCTCTAAAAATTGGATTTTATTACCTGATATGCCTCAATCTTGCAGTAATCATTGTGCTGGTGTATGTGGTGGAATCTTGTTTGTCATATATCCAATTTTTTCCTCACGTACGCGTGTGTATTCTTTGAACCCCAAATGTTGCACATCATGGAACTCCACTGAATTTGAAATCCGTGTTGGTCGCGACTGTTCAGTGACAGCTTACAATGAACAACTTTATATCGTGGGGGGCAGCAGTGATGACTCTAAAGGAGGGAAAGTCTTCAATCCAGCCCTTGGTACATGGAAAAGGATGGCACCAATGAATATTGGGCGTGCTGGACATTGTGCTGTTCTCCTACAGAAGCATATTTATGCCATTGGAGGTCACAATAATGAAAGTTGTCAGAAGAGTGTGGAGCGTTACAATCCAGTTACAAACCGGTGGCAAACGATTCGAAATATATCCAATGCCCGCACGTTTGCTGCAGCGGCTGTATCAAATGGGAAGATCATTGTTGTTGGTGGGTTCAGTGCCATGAAACCCTCAAAAGTCATGGAAGTCTCCTGTGAAATGTTTGACCCATGTACAAATGAATGGAGTCTGGTCTCAAGTCCTGCTATTTCACGTGCTGCTTGTGGAATTGTGAGTATAGATGACATTATTTACTTGTTTGGAGGTCAACATGAAGAATGTTGCATGGAAACTGTAGAGTCTTTTGATTTGAAACAGAACGAGTGGCGAGCTGTAGCTTTTATGCCAACTGAGCATCAACGCTCTTTCCATCAAGCTTCAGTACTAAGACTTCCTAAACATATTGTTTCTTAGAAATAGAAAATTGTACTGGTTTCTCAAGGAATGTCATAGTGTTGATGACCAAGGGTGAGGTCAAGATGGTTTAATATATCAGCCTAATTCTTTGACTCGTTTTCGAAATTATGAATTCAAAACAACACTCCTTCGAAATAAGAAAATAACGACTGTTTTCAATTTAGACTGTGTAGTTTGAATTTTAAATCTTGAATTATTGTAAAGTTTTAAACTTAATAATACCAACTGATGAAAACTGAACCTTAGACCATATAAAATAAAAATATCTGATTTGTTACCCTCCCTTCTCATATCCCAAGACTTCAGACTACACATGTAAGTCAGTTATAAGAATATGGCTATTATTGTTTTAAACATACTCTAGATGATAAGTTCATCAGCTATTGTACTATTGCAGGATAATATATTGATATTGTTTGGAAAAGTTATATTTTACTCATCATGCAGCAAGAGTTTTATCTGAAGCTAGACAAAAAATAATAGTAATAATTAGCATATTTGTGAAAATGGATTGTGTTCATTTCCAAAATAAGTTCAGTTGGTTACAGGTTGATGCAGGCTTCCTTTTAGAACTATTTTGTTACAAAGGCCTTTGCTAATCTCATATTTTGTACTGCAGTAGACCCTGTCATTTTGTGGTGTATATTGATTTCCATAGCAATAGAGCTACATGTATATCGTATTGTCAATTTGATTTAGTTGTACTGTATAACAGTTGGTTAGTTGATATAACTTCTGATTGAAACAAAAACTATACTAGTATGTACTGATTTAAACACTAAATATCATGTACTTTTGAACACGTTACTATCAAAATATCCAATGAAAAGGAGTATAGACTATAAGATATGTGAGTCCAACATCAATTATTTTTCTAGATCATCTTTTTTTTACAATGAGCCCTGTAAACAATACCCTTCTATTGGGTACTTCTATCTTTTTTTCTTAATCTTACCAACAACAGATTATTTTTTGCCCAAAATAGACTCCTACAAGATGAATTCATGGCCTCTAGTTCTTCATAATATGGTCACATGTTAAGCTGGAGCTACTATTCTTGGAGTTAATATACTGTTCAAAACTGATTGGTAGTTTATATATTGGCCGGGAGTTCTATCACAGATGCTACAACCTGATTGGTCATTGTACTACCTGTCTGTTCACTGAAAGATAGTGGGATAAATGAGAAGCCTAGATAAGTTGCTAAAATTTCTATGCATGACAGCTGTTTTAAACTTTTCCCTTATCAGCCATCAAGGAATAGAAATCTCAAGCTAACAAACTAATTGTTCATTAATTTTTTCTTTGTTTATCAAAGAAGCTATAGACTAGCTGACAGCCAATCAGCAGACTAACAGCTATATAAAATTTGGATTTGATATAAATTTTATGATTGTAGCCTCTACTAACATTTTACAAAGTGAAACTTAAGTCCATCACAATACAAGGTGCTAAGAAGTGCTTGTTTATAAGCTGAACTGACTAGGCTCCACAAGGCATGCTAGCTGTGTGTCTTCCACCATGGAGGGTGCATCTGAAAAAACCAAAACAAACAAATACTGGATCAAAAGCAGATAGAACTTGCAACTATAAAGAACAATAAAATAGCCTGCCTAGCAATCTTTTTCAATTCCTTTTGGTCACTTGGGAAAAGCTTGAGTCTCAGGAAGGCATGGGGCAAGAGAAGGCAAAAAAATGAATGAAAAAATTAACTAAAATAGATAATTAGCATCTGTTCCTAATCTTGATTTTTTGCTTCCTATTGCACAATGCCTTCACAAGACTCTTGCGTCTCCCACTACAGTAGTAGACTAAGTTAGCGATGAACTAACACTTGAAGTGATTTCTAAGTTCACCAAGAATGAATACTCATCTCCAAGTACTTAGCTGCACCATTGACATCTGAACTAACTGGCTTGCCATGTGGCTGCTCATTAGCTGTCTAACACAAGACTGATAAAGAACCTTTCTGTCTATCTGGTAATGATATTCAAAAAACCAACTGAGTGAAGAAAGTGGAGGCCAAGGAATATAATGCAGGGTCAATTTCTCTTCCATGCCACTGCTGTTGTCTGCACACCTATCACCCCTTTGCTCATCTTCCTTGATTTAAGTCCAAGTTAGTTAAAGTCAGCATGTACCTGAATTAAATAAGAGATCCTGAACAACCACAAGATAATAACTTACTTATTTAACTAAGTCAAATTAATCATAATCTATCGATCAACTGAATGCCTGTTTAAAATATGCCTGAAGCACCTATTGTTCAAAACTCTACAACAACAACTGGCTAGTGGTGTTTCATGAAGTGAAAAAGCCTAGTTTATACTCACTCATTACAAAGTAATCAGCTCCTTGACCAATCTCAGCCCGGGCCTCCTCGACTGCATGTTTTACAGCAAACAGACAAGCGCAGGACATGCACAAAGGTGGCTCTCCCACAGCTGTGGGTTCAATACAATCAAGAATATAAATTAAAATACATGATTTACTGACCTTGACAAAGTAAAATTATGACTATTTTCATATTAAATAATTCTACACATTCTTCAAGGATGGAACCGAAAGACAGCATTCCAATCTTCATTAGGGTGTTATTAAGTAAGATACTGTAGTATTGCTGTTGAATCAGAGAAAGTACTTAATAAGTGTTTGTGTGCACAATTGACAATTTTTGCTCAACCATTTTTACAGTCTCATGAAAATATATGGTTGTCATCATTAATCAAATAATAAGGTTGCCTTTGCAACAAACTCACCTTTCGACCTAAGAATTCCAAGTGGATTAGGAGCATTCTTCAGTAGAGTCACATTAAATTCAATTGGTATATCCTTGGAACATGGTGGCTTGTATTCCTGGAATTGCCCAGAAATAAAAGTAAATAAGTTTTTTTTTTACTTTGAAGAAACTGAATTTTTGGTGTAATAATTGCATAAGTATGCTAAAGTTGAAACCTGCAAATGTTTTATATGCCACACGGGTAAATGAGAAAATTGCTCTTTCATGACAGTTAACTAGCTAATCCTGTATGCAGTAGAATGGTAAGTAACTTATCAGAGTGCAAAATCTCATGTTGCACACCAATTGGCTTAACACCATGAACCCACCTTTCCATGATCCAGTTCTCTCAGTACAACTTGACCAGAACATAACCTGGTCATTGCAGATGTTTTAAATTAAGCAAGAAATTGTTGTGATAAAAATCAGACTTGCTTTTGAAAAGGAAGTGCAATAATTGACTAGCAACAATTTCACCCTGATTAAATTGGAATAAAACAAACATTTTTTTCACCTCTGGAGACACCTTATGAAGAAAATAATTTATATTTGCTAATTTTTAAGATAAGATTAAATTAATTAAAGATTAAATAACCATGAAGGCATGCTATAAATAGGTTGGCTCTGCCCCTCAGTTTCAGCTCAAATGCAAATCATGCCTTAGTAATATCATATGCAATGGCAAAGGGAAGCATTTCTAACTTCCAAATTTAATTGCCACAAATGAAGACAGTTTTGATTGAAGGAAGAAGATACAACATCAACCAACTCTTCCATTGCGATGTAAGTGTAGAAACTTATTGCAGCTTCTAAGAAGTCCATGTGCTGTTCAATTGCTTTGGATTGGCTGCACCCCATATAGAGGGGTCTGTATGCCACAAAAGTTGATCGACAAATGAGGTACCTATAGAGGTACCTAGGGCATCTCTGCTTTTAAAGCACACCTTTGTGTTTACATATTTTATGCAATCCAACTTAATTACCCATGTTCCATTTGTCAGGTTTTGTCCAGTTTTAGTATCATATATGAATTTCTCTGTCAACCACAAACCCAGTCCCATCACAAAAGCACCCTCCACTTGCCCAACATCAATTTCAGGGTTCATGCTGAAAAAGGCAAAAAAAAAGTATAAAAAGTAAAAAAAAAAAATCAAGTCTAATACCACTATAACATCTTCAAGAGCCTCTAATTCAATCAGGTTATGAACTTTTTACTAACTTTATTTACGCTGGTAAAAGTGGTACCATTCTTAACTTGTAGGTATACAAAGGGAGTATCTTGGCTGTCAGGAGATGGTTCATAAAGGGGTTATAAGCCAGCAGCAAAAAAGCACCTGGTAATTTGCCCTGAAAAATTGGCCATCAATTTTTTAACAGGAAGAAAACAAAATTCTTGAAAGCAAGAAAGAAGCATTGAGAGGAAATTGGGGAAATTGCTCTCCCTAACAAGATGCCTGCACAGCTGGCCTAAGGGTAAAGGGCTGGACCTTAGAAAGAGCTTCCCAGCATCAAACTTAATCAAAACTGTAACAAAATTCTCAAACATGATTGGTTATCACCAGCCCAATTTGAGTACTAATAAGACAATGTACATGTCATGTTTGTAATTGGATAGTTTAATAGGACAGTTAAAGGAACAGTTAACATGTCATGCCTGTGTAAGTGGATAGAACACCAAGTTAACTGTTGTTGTTTTGTTCTATGAAAAGGTATAACCAATGTCTAGTTTCTCTCTCAAATTTTGTCATAGTTTTGATTAATTGGTAACAGGACTTTGTGTAATCCAATTCTGTCTGTAATCGTACTCATGATCCTGCTTCCCAGTCCTCTGATTTTGTTAATTACTCATACGATTACAGACTCCATGCGGTTATTGGACTCCATTCAGTTCTATAACATTATTTATTGAACAACCACCCCTTCTCTGGTGCTCCCTGAAGGAAAAGGTATGTACAATGTAGTTATCAAATGTGAAAATACCTTACCTTTGTCCACAGTCCTCAAGTATGTCTGCACGAATTATCTCTCTTTCCCCAGTTAGAACATCCACCTCAACTTCCACACATGTTGCCCCATAAATATTGTAATTAACCATCTCACTGCTAGGGGCTTGGTACCTGGTAATAATTTTAAAAATCTACTGTTTACCTAACTTTTTGACCGACACTTTACCACAGTTTCTACAAAGAAACTTTCCCCTTTTTTTTAAAGAATATATGACTCAAAAATTTTGTGCATTCCTATATTGCTACTCAATCAGCATGAAGCAAATATCTTGTGAAGTGGATAAAGATATCAGTGCATCACTAACCTGTATTTGGCTGACAAATCAGCACCATTTGCAAAACATTTGGCGATGATTTCAGCCCAAGAGGCTGATGGCATAGTCTTCCTCACAGGATCAATTACTTTGTTGAGGATATCACAACAGCCAAGAACAGTCTAAAGGAAAAAAAATATACAAATGACTGGAATTAAAAAAAAGATAAAAAATACCAAAAAATTGGTTGCTGT